CATGTACTAGCCCTGGGGGTGTAGTCTGTAGGAAGTTGGAGTTCTAACCCAGAGGCCATGTCCCCTTGGCAGTTCAAATCCGTCATCAGCTCCGTAGGAGAAAGATGGCCAGTCTCCTCCTGTGCAGTTTACAGCTTCAAAAATAACTAGGTAGTGGTGGGGGCAACAACCAGAAACCCAAACTTGAAAAATTATATCCAATTTGGATAAAATAAAACCTTACATGGTTAAAAAAAAAAGAAAAAGAAATGAGTCAGTTCCCACTCTATAGCAATGACTTTGACAGTGTTTTAGTTTGAATGTTCCCTACTCTTGTGTTATTTATCCCAAATCTGCAACCCGTAGCTGACTCTCCAGCTACGGAGGCATTTCGTCACAGGAGAGGAGATCACCTTTCTCGTGCAGAGCAGATGGTGAATTCGAACTGCATGCCTTTGAGTTGGCAGCCCAGCTCTCTTCCACTAGGCCACCAGAGCTCCCACAATTCCTACTTTTTTTTTTATTTCCCCTTCTGGCATTTAGTGCTATGACCGAGTTTAAGATTATCCTGATTTTTGCCTTTCAAAAAGGGATCTCATTTTCCCATCTAAATGATCTTTATATTATCTATATTGTCTTCTGTCTTGTTATCGCTCTGTCAAACTGCACAGATAGAATTTGCTCATTTTGGCATACTGCTTACTTGACTTTGTGCAATTTTGATTGTACTATTTCTTGGTTTTAGTGTTAATTTTAGTTCTGCTAATACTGGTATAAATAAATCCTTCACAGTAGTTCCTTTGTGCATCTGCTTTTTTATCTCAAGTTGTTTTCTTCTTTTGTCTTTCCATCCTTGTTTCAGGAGGCTGTTTCATCCCATGCTGTGCTGAAAATGCACCGTTTTTGATGCTGTTTCTCTTACATTAGGAATGTCAGAGATGTTCTCCCTCTTTCCCCAAGTTCTCCAGAGTCTTTCATCCACTCCTTCTTAGCATTTTCCTCCCTCATCCTCAAACAAACGGAATCTATCCAGACTTGCTAATCAATTTTTAGGGCAAGTAAACTCACTGATAGGGATTTCTCTTCCAGCCTCACTGTTCCTTCTCTGCTCTGAAGCCACAGAATACACAGGAAACTACATTCCCCAGGATGCATGCCTCCTTCCCCACTTCCTGTCCTGATCTTGGTCTGTCCCAGAGTGCAGTGCACCATTGCCAAGCCAGACTCTTCACTTCCTGTCCCACTGCCTCCTGTGATGCTCTCTCTGGATGATGTGTAGGGAGGGGAAGCAGGGACAGATTTGAGATGTGGAAGTGATGGAAGGAATGCTGACTTCATTGCCTAGACAAACGTCTCATTTTTTGGCCAGTGTTTTTTAAGCCTTCCTAACTTCTCTAGAGGACATTTCCAACTTGTATAATTTTAAAAGAGTTTAGGAAGTGGGCAGTACTGCCCTGTATTTGTGGGGCAGTTGTCCAGTATTTAGAATCTGATTCCAGCTGCAGGTCTCTGAGGCAAATGTGGGTCAACAGGACAGGTAAGAAGCGTCCCTTCACCTCTGTCTTCTAAAAAGGTATTTTCTTGGGCTTCAGGTGAAAGTGTCCAATGCAAATGAGGCTTCCCTTTGGTAATTTTAAGAAGCCCTGGTAGGTAGTCTATAACCCGTGAGCTATTGCCTGCAATTTTAGCGGTTTGAATCCAGCTCCCACCAGCGGTGGGAGTTGGTGAGACATGTCCTCCTGTAAAGGTGTACAGTTGTGGAAACCCAGGGGAGGGTCCCCCTCAGTTGTCATCCCCGGACAGCAGTGGGCTTGGGCTGGATGACAGTTTGTAGGCACATCGTTCCTTACCATTGACTGCACAATCTGCATTTGATCAGCATTCTGATAGTTTCATTCTGTTTGTTCTTTTTCCATTGGGCTCCCCTTTTGTGCCTCACCTTCTTATCTAAACTGTTGACCATTTGATCTCCTATATCATGTTTTAATACACGTAATGTGGACATTATACAATTTTTGCAAACCGTGCAACCTCCCCCGTTCCGTATATGAGTTATACGAGCGTGTGTGTTATTTGCACGGACAGGCTCTTTGTGGAAAATACAGTGTTTACTTAAAGGAGCGCGGTCCTCATGAAAAGTACTGTTCTCTAAGCCAGTCTGTTATTTGGCTGAAAGGTGACTTGGAGAAATAGTTTTATCTCCAAGTTCAAAAGGCACTGTCTCAGAGTTTTCTGTCATTTTTACGTCTAGTAGTTTTGCTGCCTTTTCTCGTTTGTTTAAAGGCATTTGAGTTTTATTCTGCATTTTTCTCATTTGGATGTGGGTGTTCTGTTCTCTCTCCCTGGTCAAAGTGGCGGTTGGTAATGGTGGCCAGAGACCATGGAGTCGTGGTTTCAGGTTAGAGAAGGTGTAGGGGGTGTGGACTATTCATCAAAGGCAGATTTTGTCTTTAATTTCCCACATTCTCTTTTTTGTAAGACACACACATCTAACTGTCTCATACACACTGTTAAATATTTTTACATTATTGCTTTTGTTGTTGTGTCTTGTTTGGTTGGAACTGATTCCCAGGTGACCCTCCAGTGGGTTTTTTAGACACAATAAACAGTAGAAGAGATTGTCCATCTTACTTCTTCAGAGCAGCTGGTGGATTTGAACCATGTCCCTTTGGGTTGGTCAGCACGTCTCTTTTATCACTAAACCACCAGACTCCACATTGATATTTCTCATGTATGTCATTACTAAGATAAATATGTATTCACACATTCTCAAATATATGTAATACATGTCACTATTTACATACATACATGTTCTTTCTCACACACACACCCACCCGCCCATCTATGAATCTGCCCAAGGGCCCAAATGCCTTTTTTAATATGAGGCCAAATCAAATCAGCTCACACCTAATTGCGAGCAACAGACCACACCCAAGCCACAACCAAAACAGAAAACATACCTTTGTATCCAGTTTGGAGCTACCAATTATTATTAATATACATATATCTAGTGGCAAGAAGCTGTGCTGCAATCCCAGAGGCACATGGTTCGAGGCCACCAACTGCTCTGCAGGAAAAGATGGGCAGTCTCCTCCCGTGCGATTAACTGCCTCTGAAAACCTGCGACAGGGTCCACTGTGGGTCGGTTCCGACTCTACGGTATACAACAAACAACAACATACACGCACACACATACATATATTCATATACTTATATTGTAGATAGCTACTCATGAGATTTTATTCTGTTGTCTTGAATCCAGCGCCATCTGGTTTAGTTTTAGAATTCTTTCCAAATTCTGATATTCTCCTTTTTGTCCTTCAGCTTTTTAGTCTGATGAATTTTTACTCTTTTAATACCATAAAGGTCTGCTACACCAGTAGTGCATTTTTGTATAGGAAATCTCGCCTTTTCTTCTTTTTTTAATCTTTAGGAAGCTGTGAAGCTCAGGATAGAGCCCTGGGTGTAGTGAATATATCCAGCTGCTAACCAGAGGATTGACAGTTCAAACCCTCTTTCTGCAACTCAAGGAAAAGATGAGCTGTCTCGTCCCTTTTTGACCTACAGCCATGGAATTCCGCCCCCCCGCCCCCCGCGCGGGAGGGTCATGAGGTGGAGGGTCACCCAGGGCAAGTAGATTGGGTTTTAGGACAACACTCTTGATCCTTACGACCTTTGTTCTTTCTGGCTTTCTGGCTGTCTCCACAGTCATTCATCACTTTGTGCAGTATTTATTGAGCAGTCAGTCACCTGTGCCGTGCCACTGTCTTCAAGGAGCTGATATTATTTATATACGTATATATGCCTACTTGTATTGTACATGGCCACTCAGCTTTTGAGAAGAGACAGAAACAGTAGATAATGAACAAGGGAGTAAGGTGAATTCAGATAGCATACGTGCTGTGAAGGCAGAGTGATGTGACAGAAGTGACATGACCGAGAGTGCCCTGAGGGTACCACCTGGCAAGGAGGTCCCTGAAGGCCTCTCTGAGCAAGTGATGTTTGGGCTGATCCCGGGATTTACAGACGTGCTTGCTTATTCTTTGGCAGTCCGTGGGATATTCAGTGCTCTTCACAGTTTAAAGGCATAGATTCTTCTTTCAGATTATCTAACTTTTCAATTGTTAGGAAACAGTTGAAAGTAAGAAGTGCAGCAAGGCTGCCCCTTAGAGATAAAGTTCCACAAACTTTCGACAGAAACAAAATCACAGGGGCAGCTGGACGGTGTGTTTGTGTTCCCACATGTATGTCAGTGGGGCTAGTTTTTACCCCCAAGGGAGTAAATTTTTATGCAGGACACTGAAAAGATACAAATACGTCTATAGGTTGCAAATCAGCTGGAATGGAGACCTAGTTATATCTTAGTGTGAAGTCCTGGTGACACAGAAAGAGCCCTGGGGGTCTCCTGGTAAGGGGTTGTGCTGCCAACCCAAAGGCTGGCGGTTCAAATCCACTAGCTGCTCAGCAAGAGAAAGATGGTCTGTCTCTTCCTGTGCGATTTGCAGTCTCTGAAAACCCCCTGAAGGCTCAGCTGTGAGTCGCTTCTGACTCACACAATTTTGAAAGTTGATGGCGCTTTGTTTTAAACCTGAGGTGGTGATCGTGGTGGTGGTAGGTAGAGTGTGTGGACCAGAGCTCGCAGTGGCCCTGTGAATAACAAATCCGCACCCTGCCCTGCCCTGCCGTGTCCTCATGATCTCTGAGAACCGTGAGCCCGTTGTTATTGTCACTGTGTCAGCCTGTCAGTTGAGGGTCTTCCTCTGAGCTTCTGTGCTGAAGTGGAGGGACAGAACAGCCTGTGGCAGTTCTGCTGACATTAAACAGAAAGTGTGCCCAAACAGAGCATCAGCATCGAACAGGTTTTGTTTTATCCTTCAAAACACACTCTGTTTACATCCTCTGTGTGTTACGTTCGGGCCCAGTGTGAGTCAGCCTCCCCTGCTCAGTGAGGGACAAGCATTTCTTAGCAATAAGTGTTTGATTTGGAAGACCCTTGGCATGATTGTAGGTCTTTATTTCAGAAAACATCCTGGGATGGCACGGGCCCAAGTCACATTCCACAGAGCAGCTGAAAAATGGGACCCTTGGCTCTTTGCCATCAGCCAGTGCCAACATCACCTGGGCCATTTTACCAAACTCCGACGAAGACCACCGCCCCCTGCAGCCGGAGCCGGAGGTAAGCCACAGCCCTCGCTTGGCGCCCTCACAGCCTGGGACACTGCTTGTTTTGGAAGTACCATAACCATATTTGTAACTTGCTCGTCTCGGTGTTTTAAGTGGAGACAAATGATAAAAATGGAAGAATTGCTGGGGGGAGAGAGAACGAGTCCTGTGCACGCCTGGCACTCAGCGTGTCATCACGCCTGCCAGCTGCTGGGGGTGACTTGTGACCCTCCCAATGAGGAAATCTCCTGTTTTCATTGAAATGGGAGTCATTTGAACTTCTAGTGGGAAAATTGTCTACCAGACCCGTAAAGAGGCTACCTGTTGACGTGACGGGAGCAGTTACAATATATCACGCCAGTCCCTGGACTAATGCTTCTCGGTGCGGTTCATGCTGCCTCCCGTGCTTGCCTCCTGCATGCTGCAGAACCGAACCAGGCCCGGGCAGGGGCCCCGGTTCCCGGGGGGCATCCCGCTCCGCCCTGGCTCGGACTCTGGAGGACAGCTGGCCTGTGGCGTCACCCCTTCTATCTTGAAGGGCCAGCCGCCCTCCTGCCATTAGACGCAGGACTTGTACCATCTGCACACGCCGCTGTCTTCAGTTGGCTGTCACAGAGGGAGCCAGACGGCACGTTTCCTTTAATCAGCTTTACTTTCTATCATGAGGACTTTTGTGAGTTTTCCCTCTTTATGTTGATGCCCGTGTTCTCCGGACAGGCTCTGTCCACTCCGTCTGAGACCCACTTAGTTCATATGTTAACGAGGGTTCTTTCTTTACACTGAAATCATTTTACCCTGAAAGAAGTAGTAGGAGTTATTGTTGTTGCGTGCTGCTGACCTGACTCACGGCTGACCCTCCAGCGCCTGTTCAGAGGAGATTGTCCATTTTTGTGAAGTTGGAAGACTCAAGGCAGCTTTGTCAGTCTAAGGGTCATGGATGGGGAGCTTTTCACCAAGTTTCACATGATTATATCTGCCCACCGTGGCTTGGTAGGGTAGCCCTTAGAGGGGAGTCAGGTGTGGTCTGCCCCACGCATTTCATATGCAGTGTGAAGATGACGTGGCAGGTGTGAAGGGAACAAGGAGTGGGGATTTCTAAAAGGCATTTGGAATCTACCTGCATAGATTCAGGATGAGAAATAAAGCACTGAGGTTGATGTGTTTGGAAGGTAAGTTGGGGGACCAGGATCATGGTGGGGGTGCTGTGCTGTTGTCTCTATTCTGAGAAGCTCAGCTGGGTTGGCCCTGGGGGATGAAATGCCTTGTTGCTAAAGGATTGGAAAAATGAAAGATCACGATTCCTTTTGGAAAAGCACCACTGGATGGTCTTTCAGGAACGCCCATATTTAATATTTTGCTTTAGAGGGGAATTAAAGATACGTGGGTTCTTAGATTTTCAGACATCATCTTTCAGACTCTCATTCCCAGCAGCTTTCTGGGACAAGGCCAGACGGACTCCGTAACCTCATCAAGTTACTTATTAAGGCTGTTTAATTGAATTGCTTATGTGATTCCTTCTCTGCACCCAGCTTTTCCTTCCCCTCTTGCTCTGAAATTTGAGTGGTCAAGTCCATTCCTTTATGTAGAATTGTTCCCTTTGCCTTGCTGGTCAGTACCAGGGGCAGAAGATGAGATATAAGGTACCTCAGGAAAGAAGTGAGGCTCAGGTTTGACGTTTGAAAACCCCCAGAAGATTACCAACTTGGGAGATTGTTTCTGTAAAGTTGTGAATAATCATTGGGCTTTGGTTGTTATGCTTGTCTTTGTTCCTCTTTGTCAGAGGATGAGATCCTGTCGGATAATTCTCTGCAGCCTCGAGAGACTCAGGGAGGGTGAAATGGCTCTGGTGATTTTCAGAGAAGAGGGGTGGGGTGTGCTCTGTGGAGACTCCCCCGCCCACACCTGGGGCACCGACACTCAAGAAATCAAAACAATTGTGTTGGGTAAATCTACTCTCAAGGACTTTCCTCTCTAAAGTGTTAGTGAGCAGTGATACTAGTTTAAAGACTTAAGATGCACTGATTCAAGCCATGATATTTTCAGTTACTTATTATGCATCTGAAAGTTGAACCAGTGACTAAGGATGACAGAGGAAGAATCTAGGCCTTTGAGTTTTGGTGTTGGAGAAGAGTGCTGAATATCCCACAGGCTCCCCAGAGAATAAACAGATATGTCTTGGAGAAAATGCAAACAAACAAAATTTTTGAGCATGTTGTTAGGAAGAGCTAGTGCTTGGAAAATAACATCGCTGGAAAGGTGCAGGGTTAATAAAAGAGAAGAAGACTTTGAGCGAGATGAATTTGACACAGTGACTGTAACATGGGCTCAAGTGTGAGAAATCCTTATCAGAAATGAGGAGATGCAGCAAGAGAGGCCAAGATTCAGATCCGTTGTTCAGAGTTGTAGTAAACTTGACAACACCTGACAACCTCCTTTTGGAGACAGGAAAGGGAGTGAGCTTGGTTTTTACTCCACCACCATCCTGTTAACCAGCTCTGGTTTATATTGAAGTGGTCAGAAGCTTTGCTGGCTAATTTCCCAAGTCACTCAGCTTACTCATAGCTGGCCTCCAGAGGGTTTCCGAGACTGGAAGTCACAAAGGAGGAGATTGCCCATCTTTCTCCCATGGAACAGTGGAGCCCCTGGTAGCAATAGCAAATATACCATCAAGGGACCTCTTTCTTGGCTCCTAAAATGTCTCAGGTGACCCAGCCCAACTTTAAGAAGACTAGATGACTAAATCAGCATATAAATTAGCCAACTCATCTATGGTTATAAAATGGCATAATTGGATTTTCAAGTAAATATCTCTTAATCCCTTCTTCCCTAAGGGAGAGAAATATTTTTTAAGAATAAAAGAATGAGAGTTTTATAAGATTTAGCTGACTTCTGTCTCGGGAGGAATTGCCACAGTCTTGATTGAATTGTCATTTTTAGCACTGAACTTTTGAACCACTTAACAGCATATAAAACTGTCAGTTTGAAATCCTCTGACATTCAACTTGAAGTCTGGCCAGTAGAATCCAATCCACTCAGTCCATCTTTATCGTGTCCTGTTCTTCATCTCCACGATACTTAAATATACAGGTGGAGGTGATTGCGGATAGAGACTGTGAGTCGGTGGCTGATGGTGATAGATGTTTTAAGACAAACTTTGTAATAGGTTCTAATCGTCCTTCAGATGATTTTTTTAATACAAAACTTCAATTTTACAGATTAATTAAATTTTTTTAAATTTTTATTTATTTATTTTATGTGTGTACCGTCAAATTGGATCTGACTGGTACAGGAGGCGATTGTTCCTCCTTCTTTAGAGCATCTGGTGGATTTGAACCGCGTACCTCTGGGATTGCAGTGCAGTTTCCTGCCACTAGGCCACCAGAGCTCGCCTAATTACAAATATTTGACATATTTATTTTCTATAACAATTTGACAAAGGAGCGAAACATCTATTGCTTTATTGACTCTTGTGATGACCCTGGTGACTTTCATTCCAAATGGTTGCTAAATAAGAAATGTTGTTGATCACATTTATAATTTAAGAATAAATCCATGGGTGAACTGATTTCCTTCCTCTCTTCATTCCCTATCACATCAAAGTAGTAGTTTGATTGCATTTCCTCCCCAGTTCCTGTACAACGGACTTTCCCTCATTCCTTGAAAAAATGATCTTTGAATCTTAAATCTTAGAATAGTTAGAAGAGTCTTCAGAAGTGAGAGTTCAGCTGTCCAAATTGGAGGAACTAAGTCGTCAAGTCCATCACTGTCCCATCAATTCCTCCTCTGAGGCCCCTCAAGGGACTGCTATTTTCAAGGCTGTAATGATAAATGTTGATAGCTGTAGAGGGGCTTCAGGCCTTTTGTTCATAGGGTCACTGTGAGTCGTGCTCTGCTTGAAGGCAATCGGCAACAACAGTCTTTACAGAACAGATTGCCATATCTTTTTTCCTGTGGACTAGCTAGTGAGTTTGAACTACTGACCTTTCTGTTAGCAGTAGAGTACTTCACTGCGGCACGCCAGTGCTTCTAACTTGCCAAGAGACCCTAAACCAACAGGGGCCGTGTAGTTGGTTCAGGCTCCTCTCAGGCCTGTGTGCAGTACTGCCGGGTGGCCTCACCCTCACAATCGTTGGTGATGTTTCAGCCCATATTTTTTCCAGTGTCAGTTCATCTTGTCGTCTTCTTTTCACTCCAAGCATGATCTTCTTCTCCAGACACTGGCCCTTTCTAAAGACATATCCAGAGGACCACCACTCTTTCTTCTAAGGAACATCCTGGCTCTGTTTCTTCTAAGATAGGTTTGTGTCATCTTTCTGGCAGTCCAAGCTATCTTTAATATACTTTGTCATTACTGTGATCCAAATGCATCACTTCTTCCTTATTCATGGAACAGTTTTCGTATGCATTTGAAGCACTTGAAAAGATCTACCCTGCGTCTTCAAGGTGACGTCTTTATGTTTTAATACTTTAGAGGGATCTTTAGCAGGAGATCTGCCTAGTGCATTGGCACAGAACTAGTCAGAGATCAATACGAGATTGATAATATAGACTTCCTTTCCAAGCAAGTGCCTTTCCCTCTTCTTTTTGATAGGATTCTTTCAGCTGTAAAAACACAAAAACAAAACAGAAAATCTGGCATTTAGTAGCTCAAGCAATAATTCAATTTCATTTCAACACACACCATTAATTCTGATGCTTAAGTAGCTCTGGGTTTGGTGCAGCAAAAACCACAGTTTCAAAGAAAAAAACCAACAAAACCCTCAGTTCCTTCTATTTTTCCTTTTCTACTGGCCTCAGCTGCATGCCACTTTATGGTCAATCGTTCATGACAACTGTATTTCCAAGCACTGTGTCTTCAGCTTAGCTTCCTTTAAAGGAAAGAAGACACAGGATTTTCACAGGCTGCTGCTTCCTTTTTTGAAGAAAGACCCTTAATACACTTCTTCTATTATATCATAGGAAGCTCTGGTGGCCTAGTGGTAAGAAATGACACTGTTAATGCAAAGGCAAGCG